CCTCATTGTCCCAGGAACCCTCAAAGGGTAGAGCACACTGGAAGCTCGAACCCCAGGAGGAAGGGCCAATTGGCCTCGTGTAGTAATTCACGCCACGTGTAGGAGTGCACTGTCTGGGTTTTTTAATTCATCCCCCAAATTTAAAGAGCACAGGTTTGGAGTCAGGCCTGCGTCAGTCCTGGCTCTGGCCTCTGCAGGCAGAATCAGCGTGGACAAGACCTGCCCTGTGAAGCTCTGGCTGTATAATCACAGAAAACAAGATCCACTCCCAGCCTCTGGGAGGTCCCTAAGCAGGGGGCCTCCTAGAGCTGGGCGGGTGAGAGTGAAGGGATGAGTGATTGACCGTCCCCCTGCCCTGCTCACCGGAGTGGGAGTTTGGACATGGGGGAACTGTAACGACTGTCACAAATTCTTGGCAGCCAACTTGAATCCCACTAGTTGTGATTCAGGCCAGGTCACTACCAGAGATGAATCCATTTAATGGGAATGGCCTGTCACTGCTAGTACAGGTCACTAGCGCAGGGCCAGGGGGCTCGAGACTTCCCTGGGACATCCTTCCTCGGGCCGCCTGCAGGAGTCAGGTTTTCTGTCACTGTCCCCGTGCAGCTGTGCCAGCGGGGCTTTCTAAGTGGTCAGGGGAGCTAGACAATGGCTTTTAAGGTGACAGTCCCTTGTCAGAGTGATGCAAAGCTGTCTGAATTCATCTGCTGGTGCGTGTCTTTTGGGGAAAGCTGCTGACAAGGCCAAAGTATTGGAGGTTATTCATTTTTAATAGAAAATTTAAACTGGCTTTGCTTTACAACCAGCTGCTCTGGGCTCCAGCCCATTGGCCAACTTTTAGGTGGACTATGCAATGAGAATTACTGTTGAAAGGGGAGCTGAGTGTAGCCATACTTCCCCCCTTGTCCTTGGATTTGTCTGGGCTTCATATCCAAGGTGACACCCCAGAGCTCATGGGGTTGAGGACTGGAGGCAGCACTGCCCATCCCCGTGTTTTGTACCATGTCCACCTCAGCCCCCAGTGCAAGCATGTCAAACACAAAGGCTAACACGGGCCAAATAAGCAAGGTTTGAGTTTACGTGGGCCACAAAAAAACAAAAGCTTCAATTTTCATAGAAACGTGGGTGTATTTCGATAGAGATGTGCTGAATTCAAAGGGCTGAAATAAATGAGTCATCGTTAACATCAAATAATAGAACATTTTAATAAAAATATTTTTTCTTGAACATTACCGTACCAGACACTGAATAACTGCACAAATTCACAAGCATTACGCAAATAAACCTGTTTTTCTTGTTCTCCGAAAGCGAAATATGTCCTGTTGCGCACACCAAACAAGTCAGTCCAAGACTAATGACGTGGCAATCGGCTGCTAAAATATTCGCTGCTAGTATTAGTGGAGAGAAATGGTGCACCTGCGCTTTTAAGGCACAGAAGGGAAATGAATGCAACATGATTATAGTAATCAGTCAATTAGCGGACATTGTAGTTCGTTATTAATAATCATGTACAACAGGATATTGTAAAAATTAAGTTACAAAATTTTTATTAAAACATTTCTTACATACATTATATTGGCTGGGCCGCAAAGATATTCGCTGTGGGCCACATGCGGCCCATAGGCTGAGAGCTTGACATACTTGCCCCAGAGCATCTGCCGCTTAAGAAGCATCAGGAACATCCTTTTGGCTGAAATTTCCCCCATGAGACCCTGATTAAATGGACTCTGCAGGGTGAGGGTCCAAACTAGACTGAATGAGATCTGGGGCAAGCTGAGCCCCTGTCCCAGACCTCACTGCTCCGGGTCTAGCAAAGGTGGCCACAGAATGGCCTCTTCCTGGGTCCCGGGAAGGTGGTTATCAGAAGATCTCTTTTGTGTCATTAGGGAACAAGGGACCATTGTTTGTTACCCATTCCCCTTGCAACATTGCCTTCTTTCCTCTCCATTGTTTGTGGGTGATCATCTCCTCCCTGGCTCCCCGCCCCACCCCCTTTTCTGTTCTTAGGATAAATCTGATCCTCTGGGCAATGGATAGTTTATTCCCACAGGACACAAAGCTTAAAAGGAACTCCCTCCCACCACAAGTGACTGTGGAGTAGAGGCAGGAGAACTAAGTCACGCTTTTGGAGTCATCACAGCTATCTGTGGGAAGGCTCCAAACAGATCTTCTGCCTCCACAAAGACTCATTCAGTTCTACAGCAAGTGGACATAGCCGTGCTCTTTGGCGCCCAGCTCAGCAGGCGGCACGTGGCTCCTGTTGGAGCCACGTCTCTGGGAAGGGAAGGAGCTTCTGAAACATTAAGTCGTGATAAATAGCACGCCCATCCGTCTTCACGAAAGACTTTAGTTATTGTCCAACTTCAGCAAGCAAATCCCATTCATGTCTGAGCTCTGCCTCATATGCCAGCCCTAATTTTTAAAAAACAGAAATATGTATATTTGTATCAATAGAAAATAACTAGACCGAAGTCTAGATGTTAGAGTAATTATCTCTGAAGAAGCAAGATCCCACACATTCTTTGCATGACGATGTTCTTTTTAGGGCATTTCTTGTGTTTTCCAGTACAGAGGGTGTGAATATGCTCACTGACGCTTCTGTTTCCGGTAGAGGCAGAAGTATGGATATCGGAACGAGACCCAGTGAATCTCTCTTGGCCTCTGATGAGTCTGGAGCCCTCACTATGCAGAGTAGACTCTGGATTAGCACATTAAGAGTAGCTGTTCAGGTATTCTTAGCAGCTCCTTGAAGTCCAGAGCTGCCTGATTTCTCAGTCCCCTCTCCCCTTCACAGGCCAGGGATGGACAAGGCGGCCAGTGAACGGGCATCTTGTCTTGTGACTTGAGGTCATTAATGGTCATGACCCATGTCAGCCCTCATCAGACATGAACTTCATTATGCTCTGACTTGGAGGTGGGATCTTCTCTCAGGTTTAGGGCTGGCCATGTGCCCCGAGTGAACTCTGCAGGGGAAGAGCCGCCCCCACCCAAGTCCTCCTGTGCCCCATCACCCCCAGGGGACATGCTGCAGGGGCAGAAGTCCGATTTATTTCTGTGCAAACAAAGGTGGGGGAACAGCTGGCTCCACCTGTCACCCTTGTGCATGTGTCTCCTTGTGGCGCCATCCCAACAGCAGAGGGCAGTAGTGATCAGCAAGTCCAGGAAAGAGATGGGTTACCAGCCAGGAGAAGGTGTCCTCCTACAGGAAGTGGCCACACTCACCCCACACCCATGCCCAGACTTCTCCTTCTCTCCTGAGTGCTTATCAGGCTGTTGCTGACTGTCCTGACTCAGCTGAGCCAGGGCAGGAGCACAAGAACCCTAGAACCTTACCTCTGTAAAGCCAGGCCTCTGACCCCGTGGCATGACAGATGGGGACACTGGGGCCCAGAGAAGGGACTTGCTCAGAGTCACACAGGGACCCGGGGGCAGAGGAGTTCTAACTGCTTTAGTGAGGAAGCAGGCCCCGGTGGAAGGGCGGGAGGCGGGTGGCTGCAGGTAGGAGAGATGCCCACTGCACCTGTGCACAGGCCCCAGCCTAGACCACGAGCTCCTGGATTGTCTCACCTCTAAATTCCAACACTCAGCCCCGTATTTCTGGGCGGACCCTTTGCCGCTCCAGTAAGACCGTGATGTCTCCCAGTGGCACAGGCTGGGCCTCTTGCGGTCTGTCCCTTCCGCACACCCAGCGCCTGGCAGGGCACCCAGTGCTCAGGGAAGATGTGAGGGCTCAGGTGGTGGGTGCAGATGGGTAGCGAGCACCGACAGGACAGGGGACCTCCTTCTCTCTCCCCACCATCCCGAGAGCTTTCTGAGCACGTCTGCGCTGTCTCGTCTCTGGGCCTTCGTCTCATGGTGGTCTCTCAACAGCCTGCGCCCCACTCCCTTCCTCTGCTTCAGCTCCATTCTTCTGTCGCTCAAGGCCCAGCCCTGGTGCCTCCTCCTCCCAGAGCCTCACCTTCCCTGACTCTCATCTGGATTCCCGCCGCCTTGGTCTGTAACTGGTGACCCTGGGCCACGAGGGAAGCTGTGAAGGTCAGTGGGGAGGAGGACTTCAGGGCCCCACAGGTCTGTGTTCCGACCTGGCACTGCCACTGACCATCTGGATGAACTTGGCAAGTCTCTTAGCCGGATCTGTAAAACGGAGATGCTAATCCATGTTCCACTGGACAGTCAGTCTAGAGACGCACTGGAGTGCCTGCAGGAGCTGCCACTCCTACCTGTAGTTGGCATTTGTGTCTGGGTTGTTCTCCGTAAGATGAACAGCTCTTTGAGGGCAGGGGTGTGGTCTTATTGGTGTCCCAAGTGAATGAATGAGTGAATGAATGAATGAGTGAATTCTGGGGATGGGCAGAGAAGTCTGTGAAGTCTGCTTTTCACCAGCAAGATGCAGGACAGCAGCCCTCACTGTCCCGCAGCCCCCCCCACACACCCAGTGTGCACTCAGCCCTCCGAAGCCCCTCCTCCCTTCCAGCCCCATTCTCAGCTTCCCCACCTCAATGACATTTTCTCTCCTAATTACCCTTTTAAATGAAATTTGTTAAGGTTGATGTAATTTTTAAACTGATTTGCATATTTTAATTTAATTTTAATTTGTTGTTGTTAATCCTTACCCAAGGTTATTTTTCCATTGGTTTTTAGAGAGCGTGGAAGGGAGGGGGAGAGACAGAGAGAAACATCAATGTGAGAGAGACATCAATCTGTTGCCTCCTGCACGAGCCCAGACCAGGAGCCAGGGATCAAGTCTACAACTGAGGTACCTGCCCTTGACTGGAAATCAAACCCAAGACCCCTCAGTCCTCAGGCCAGTGCTCTATCCACTGAGCAAGACTGGCTAGGGCTGATTTGTATATTTTCATAAGAGCGCGTGATGGACAAGGAGTATTAGGCTGCAAACTTTCTGTAAAATTGACTGAATGATCGATTGGCGCTGCCCTTCCTCCAGCCCTCGGGGTGGGTGCTAGCTCAAGACTGACATAAACTGGATTTTTGCTTGGCAGACCACGGTGAGCTGGGACGGGGACAAGCTCCAGTGTGTGCAGAAGGGCGAGAAGGAAGGACGCGGCTGGACCCAGTGGATTGAGGGTGACGAGCTGCACCTGGTAGGTTCCTGGGGCGAGGGTGGGACCGGTCCTGCTGTGGTTCCTATTTGCAAGATGAGGGCATAGAGACTCACCTCCAAGTCACACAGCTAGAAAGTGGCAGAACTAAATTTACTCCCAAGTAATGTCACTTTTCACCATGCCAACTGTGGCAGGCAAGCACCCAGGACAATTCTCTAAGCTTCTCTAAGACATGATCTCAACAATCCAGGTCAGGGAGGAGAAGCCTTTCTCAGTCCAGCTGTGGGCCCCACTCACCCTGCCCTCCAGCCTGGGACCTCTGGTCAAAGCTACCTCTGCTCCATGCATTGCCTGGAAAAAGCACCCACAAATCCAGAGAAGGGACCTTAGCATCGGAGGGCTAAACATTTCCTCGGAGGGGAGACCTCTCATCACTTCTGTGCCCTTGGACTTCCCCAACCATCTTCCTTCTAAGAAAGGAGTCTGGTCCGGGTGACCTGGGTTCTAGTCCTGACTCACTGGGTGCCTTTGAGTCGGTACTTCCTTCCTTCAGCTCATCTGCAAAATGCCCTCCTACCACATAGGGGTTCTGCAAAGATCAGGGCCTGCGAGAGCTTTGGGACGTGAACGGGCGAAGAGACAAGAGGGCATTATACTCAGAGGCGGCTTAGGAGGATACAGAGAGCCAGGCTGCAGTGCCCGGCCTTGAGCATCTCCTTGGAAGCAGCATGCTAGTTTGCCACCCGAGTCTGTGGCAACTTATTGAGCCCTTTGAGGAGTCGAGTCTTGTGTCTGGGCCTGATTTCTTCCAAGGCTGGGCACAGACTCTGTCCTGGGTTTAGGCCTGAGGTTTGGAGAGTCTTTGGGCCCATTAGGGAGGCAGTGGGAGCATCAAAGGGTCAATCTTGTTGGTCAGCTCTGAGCCACATCAGTTTCCCAACCAGCTCTCTTCACAGGCTGTAGCAGCATCTGCACTGACCCAATTCAACCAACTCTCCAAGGAATTGGTTAGTTCAAACCAACTCTTGGGAAGAACAGCAGCCACTGAGTATTTCCTAAGTTGCTGAGGCCAGCTGTGGGCCCCACTCACCCTGCCCTCCAGCCTGGGACCTCTGGTCAAAGCTACCTCTGCTCCATGCATTGCCTGGAAAAAGCACCCACAAATCCAGAGAAGGGACCTTAGCATCCGGAGGGCTAAATGTTTCCTCGAAAAGGAGACCTCTCATCACTTCTGTGCCCTTGGACTTCCCCAACCATCTTCCTTCTAAGAAAGGAGTCTGGTCCGGGTGACCTGGGTTCTAGTCCTGACTCACTGGGTGCCTTTGAGTCGGTACTTCCTTCCTTCAGCTCATCTGCAAAATGCCCTCCTACCACATAGGGGTTCTGCAAAGATCAGGGCCTGCGAGAGCTTTGGGACGTGAACGGGCGAAGAGACAAGAGGGCATTATACTCAGAGGCGGCTTAGGAGGATACAGAGAGCCAGGCTGCAGTGCCGGCCTTGAGCATCTCCTCCCTGGGCCTTCCTTCCTCAGCTGCACGAGAGAGGGGAGCTGTGTGATCTCCACGGGCCTTTCCGCTCAATGGTTCTGTGGCTCCGTGACAGAGGCTGCAAACTGGGGCCACAGGCCTCTTTTATTTGGCCATCAATGGGCTTCAGACTTCTTCAGCCAACAATTTAACAGGAAATGTCACATGAATATTTTGATTTCTAGCCTTCAAAAAAAAAACAAAAAAAAAAAACCTTGGAAGGGGTGGCTACACTGCTTCCATTCCCCCTGGCAGCAATCATCAGGGCTGCCCGCAGGCAGGGCATGGCTTTCTTGACTATGTTTTAGTACTACCTGGGAGTGTTTAATAATAGCAATTTCAGTACCCCACCCACTGAGGTGCTGATAGAACTGGCCTAGCCTGAGCCCAGGCCTTTTTCAAACTCCCCAGCTAACCCAGCATGCCAGTGAGCTTGGAAGCAGCATGCTAGTTTGCCACCCGAGTCTGTGGCAACTCATTGAGCCCTTTGAGGGGTTGAGTCTTGTGTCTGGACCTGATTTCTTCCAAGGTTGGGCACAGACTCTGTCCTGGGTTTAGGCCTGAGGTTTGGAGAGTCTTTGGGCCCATTAGGGAGGCAGTGGGAGCATCAGAGGGTCAATCTTGTTGGTCAGCTCTGAGCCACATCAGTTTCCCAACCAGCTCTCTTCACAGGCTGTAGCAGCATCTGCACTGACCCAATTCAACCAACTCTCCAAGGAATTGGTTAGTTCAAACCAACTCTTGGGAAGAACAGCAGCCACTGAGTATTTCCTAAGTTGCTGCCCCTAGAAGTACTGACTCCTCGTGTGGCCTCCGTCTGGCCAATGACAAGCATCTGTTTTTGTTTCAGGAGATGAGAGTGGAGGGTGTGGTCTGCAAGCAAGTGTTCAAGAAGGTGCACTGAAGCCGGGGCAGACCTTGGTCTCGGGGAGTGAGTGGCATGGGCATTCGGGCGGGGCAGAAACGTCCAGCCACCTCCAGGTATCGGTTAGCAGTCTGTCTCTTGGCCTTGTCCCTTTCCCTTTTCTTAGAACAAAACC